GTAGCATTTGGCACGGTGCTACAGGGCATCGCTTGAGTAGCATTTGGCACGGAGATACAGGGCACCGCTTGAGTAGCATTTGGCACGGTGCTACAGGGCACCGCTTGAGTAGCATTTGGCACGGTGCTACAGGGCACCGCTTGAGTAGCATTTGGCACGGTGCTACAGGGCACCGCTTGAGTAGCATTTGGCACGGTGCTACAGGGCACCGCTTGAGTAGCATTTGGCACGGTGCTACAGGGCACCGCTTGAGTAGCATTTGGCACGGTGCTACAGGGCACCGCTTGAGTAGCATTTGGCACGGTGCTACAGGGCAGCGCTTGAGTAGCATTTGGCACGGTGCTACAGGGCACCGCTTGAGTAGCATTTGGCACGGTGCTACTGGGAACCGCTTGAGTAGCATTTGGCACGGTGCTACAGGGCACCGCTTGAGTAGCATTTGGCACGGTGCTACAGGGCACCGCTTGAGTAGCCTTTGGCACAGTGCTACAGGGCACCGCTTGAGTAGCATTTGGCACGGTGCTACAGGGCACCGCTTGAGTAGCATTTGGCACGGTGCTACAGGGCACCGCTTGAGTAGCATTTGGCACGGTGCTACAGGGCACCGCTTGAGTAGCATTTGGCACGGTGCTACAGGGCACCGCTTGAGTAGCATTTGGCACGGTGCTACAGGGCACCGCTTGAGTAGCATTTGGCACGGTGCTACAGGGCAGCGCTTGAGTAGCATTTGGCACGGTGCTACAGGGCACCGCTTGAGTAGCATTTGGCACGGTGCTACAGGCACGGCTTGAGTAGCATTTGGCACGGTGCTACAGGGCACCGCTTGAGTAGCATTTGGCACGGTGCTACAGGGCACCGCTTGAGTAGCATTTGGCACGGTGCTACAGGGCAGCGCTTGAGTAGCATTTGGCACGGAGATACAGGGCACCGCTTGAGTAGCATTTGGCACGGTGCTACAGGGCACCGCTTGAGTAGCATTTGGCACGGTGCTACAGGGCACCGCTTGAGTAGCATTTGGCACGGTGCTACAGGGCACCGCTTGAGTAGCATTTGGCACGGTGCTACAGGGCACCGCTTGAGTAGCATTTGGCACGGTGCTACAGGGCACCGCTTGAGTAGCACTTGGCACGGTGCTACAGGGCACCGCTTGAGTAGCATTTGGCACGGTGCTACAGGGCACCGCTTGAGTAGCATTTGGCACGGTGCTACAGGGCACCGCTTGAGTAGCATTTGGCACGGTGCTACAGGGCACCGCTTGAGTAGCATTTGGCACGGTGCTACAGGGCACCGCTTGAGTAGCATTTGGCACGGTGCTACAGGGCAGCACTTGAGTAGCATTTGGCACGGTGTTACAGGGCACCGCTTGAGTAGCATTTGGCACGGTGCTACAGGGCACCGCTTGAGTAGCATTTGGCACGGTGCTACAGGGCACCGCTTGAGTAGCATTTGGCACGGTGCTACAGGGCAGCGCTTGAGTAGCATTTGGCACGGTGCTACAGGGCACCGCTTGAGTAGCATTTGGCACGGTGCTACTGGGAACCGCTTGAGTAGCATTTGGCACGGTGCTACAGGGCACCGCTTGAGTAGCATTTGGCACGGTGCTACAGGGCATCGCTTGAGTAGCATTTGGCACGGAGATACAGGGCACCGCTTGAGTAGCATTTGGCACGGTGCTACAGGGCACCGCTTGAGTAGCATTTGGCACGGTGCTACAGGGCACCGCTTGAGTAGCATTTGGCACGGTGCTACAGGGCACCGCTTGAGTAGCATTTGGCACGGTGCTACAGGGCACCGCTTGAGTAGCATTTGGCACGGTGCTACAGGGCACCGCTTGAGTAGCACTTGGCACGGTGCTACAGGGCACCGCTTGAGTAGCATTTGGCACGGTGCTACAGGGCACCGCTTGAGTAGCATTTGGCACGGTGCTACAGGGCACCGCTTGAGTAGCATTTGGCACGGTGCTACAGGGCACCGCTTGAGTAGCATTTGGCACGGTGCTACAGGGCACCGCTTGAGTAGCATTTGGCACGGTGCTACAGGGCAGCACTTGAGTAGCATTTGGCACGGTGTTACAGGGCACCGCTTGAGTAGCATTTGGCACGGTGCTACAGGGCACCGCTTGAGTAGCATTTGGCACGGTGCTACAGGGCACCGCTTGAGTAGCATTTGGCACGGTGCTACAGGGCAGCGCTTGAGTAGCATTTGGCACGGTGCTACAGGGCACCGCTTGAGTAGCATTTGGCACGGTGCTACTGGGAACCGCTTGAGTAGCATTTGGCACGGTGCTACAGGGCACCGCTTGAGTAGCATTTGGCACGGTGCTACAGGGCATCGCTTGAGTAGCATTTGGCACGGAGATACAGGGCACCGCTTGAGTAGCATTTGGCACGGTGCTACAGGGCACCGCTTGAGTAGCATTTGGCACGGTGCTACAGGGCACCGCTTGAGTAGCATTTGGCACGGTGCTACAGGGCACCGCTTGAGTAGCATTTGGCACGGTGCTACAGGGCACCTCTTGAGTAGCATTTGGCACGGTGCTACAGGGCAGCGCTTGAGTAGCATTTGGCACGGTGCTACAGGGCACCGCTTGAGTAGCATTTGGCACGGTGCTACTGGGAACCGCTTGAGTAGCATTTGGCACGGTGCTACAGGGCACCGCTTGAGTAGCATTTGGCACGGTGCTACAGGGCACCGCTTGAGTAGCATTTGGCACGGTGCTACAGGGCACCGCTTGAGTAGCATTTGGCACGGTGCTACAGGGCACCGCTTGAGTAGCATTTGGCACGGTGCTACAGGGCACCGCTTGAGTAGCATTTGGCACGGTGCTACAGGGCACCGCTTGAGTAGCATTTGGCACGGTGCTACAGGGCACCGCTTGAGTAGCATTTGGCACGGTGCTACAGGGCACCGCTTGAGTAGCATTTGGCACGGTGCTACAGGGCAGCGCTTGAGTAGCATTTGGCACGGTGCTACAGGGCACCGCTTGAGTAGCATTTGGCACGGTGCTACAGGCACGGCTTGAGTAGCATTTGGCACGGTGCTACAGGGCACCGCTTGAGTAGCATTTGGCACGGTGCTACAGGGCACCGCTTGAGTAGCATTTGGCACGGTGCTACAGGGCAGCGCTTGAGTAGCATTTGGCACGGAGATACAGGGCACCGCTTGAGTAGCATTTGGCACGGTGCTACAGGGCACCGCTTGAGTAGCATTTGGCACGGTGCTACAGGGCACCGCTTGAGTAGCATTTGGCACGGTGCTACAGGGCACCGCTTGAGTAGCATTTGGCACGGTGCTACAGGGCACCGCTTGAGTAGCATTTGGCACGGTGCTACAGGGCACCGCTTGAGTAGCATTTGGCACGGTGCTACAGGGCACCGCTTGAGTAGCATTTGGCACGGTGCTACAGGGCACCGCTTGAGTAGCATTTGGCACGGTGCTACAGGGCACCGCTTGAGTAGCATTTGGCATGGTGCTACAGGGCAGCGCTTGAGTAGCATTTGGCACGGTGCTACAGGGCACCGCTTGAGTAGCATTTGGCACGGTGCTACTGGGAACCGCTTGAGTAGCATTTGGCACGGTGCTACAGGGCACCGCTTGAGTAGCATTTGGCACGGTGCTACAGGGCACCGCTTGAGTAGCATTTGGCACGGTGCTACAGGGCACCGCTTGAGTAGCATTTGGCACGGTGCTACAGGGCAGCGCTTGAGTAGCATTTGGCACGGTGCTACAGGGCACCGCTTGAGTAGCATTTGGCACGGTGCTACAGGCACGGCTTGAGTAGCATTTGGCACGGTGCTACAGGGCACCGCTTGAGTAGCATTTGGCACGGTGCTACAGGGCACCGCTTGAGTAGCATTTGGCACGGTGCTACAGGGCAGCGCTTGAGTAGCATTTGGCACGGAGATACAGGGCACCGCTTGAGTAGCATTTGGCACGGTGCTACAGGGCACCGCTTGAGTAGCATTTGGCACGGTGCTACAGGGCAGCGCTTGAGTAGCATTTGGCACGGAGATACAGGGCACCGCTTGAGTAGCATTTGGCACGGTGCTACAGGGCACCGCTTGAGTAGCATTTGGCACGGTGCTACAGGGCACCGCTTGAGTAGCATTTGGCACGGTGCTACAGGGCACCGCTTGAGTAGCATTTGGCACGGTGCTACAGGCCAGCACTTGAGTAGCATTTGGCACGGTGCTACAGGGCACCGCTTGAGTAGCATTTGGCACGGTGCTACAGGGCACCGCTTGAGTAGCACTTGGCACGGTGCTACAGGGCACCGCTTGAGTAGCATTTGGCACGGTGCTACAGGGCACCGCTTGAGTAGCATTTGGCACGGTGCTACAGGGCACCGCTTGAGTAGCATTTGGCACGGTGCTACAGGGCACCGCTTGAGTAGCATTTGGCACGGTGCTACAGGGCACCGCTTGAGTAGCATTTGGCACGGTGCTACAGGGCAGCACTTGAGTAGCATTTGGCACGGTGTTACAGGGCACCGCTTGAGTAGCATTTGGCACGGTGCTACAGGGCACCGCTTGAGTAGCATTTGGCACGGTGCTACAGGGCACCGCTTGAGTAGCATTTGGCACGGTGCTACAGGGCACCGCTTGAGTAGCATTTGGCACGGTGCTACAGGGCACCGCTTGAGTAGCATTTGGCACGGTGCTACTGGGAACCGCTTGAGTAGCATTTGGCACGGTGCTACAGGGCACCGCTTGAGTAGCATTTGGCACGGTGCTACAGGGCATCGCTTGAGTAGCATTTGGCACGGTGCTACAGGGCACCGCTTGAGTAGCATTTGGCACGGTGCTACAGGGCACCGCTTGAGTAGCATTTGGCACGGTGGTACAGGGCACCGCTTGAGTAGCATTTGGCACGGTGCTACAGGGCACCGCTTGAGTAGCATTTGGCACGGTGCTACAGGGCACCGCTTGAGTAGCATTTGGCACGGTGCTACAGGGCAGCGCTTGCCACCTACCATGTCATGTCATGTTGTCAGGCCTTCTTCAGGTGCCTGTGAGGTGCCTGTGAGGTGCTCCAGGGATACATTGAGTGGTGCGTGTGTGGTACAAGGCAGTGGAAGCAAGGTGGCTGTGATGACCCACCATCAGCGTGAGCGAGCCATGCCAGTCCGCAACCAGGAGAAAGCGATTGATGCGGTGCAGAGGGGTGACGGGAGCTGTGTGGCTGGGATGAGAAGGGTGGCACGTGCGCAGGTGCACGATGGATGGCGCAGGGAGCAAAGGGGGGAGAAAAAGGGGGAGAGATGGAGGCGTTCAATTGTGCAGCACACGGCGCAAGGAGCCTGCAAGGCATGAGTGCAGCTCACAAGTGGCATGCTTCATGCAGCTGCGCTGCGGCATGGGAAGGGCCTTGGCTGGTGGCAGTGGCACGTGGATAGTGGAGCAAGCAGACGTCCAAGTCCCCCGGTGGACTTGAACTCGTTTCAAGGAGTCTCGATGATTCACAAACACTACATGCCGGAAGGAAGGTGAGGCTGATGGGTGCAGAAAGCAACAATTTGATATACCTCGCTATTCGGCCACCACGTGGTGAACAAGTGCAGAGTGCGGAGTGACTCACCTCAGAGCCACAGCGGAGACAGCCTCCACCGACCAGCAGCGCCGCCCCTCCATGTGCACCACCCTCCCGCTGCCCTCATTCCCGCCTCCCCCACTCCCCCCTTCCCCATCGGCCCTGCTCTCCTCCTCCTCCGCCTCCCCTTTGCCCGGACCGTTCCCTGCCCCCCCATACGCCACGTGTCGCACCCACAAGCGCTGGCGGGCTGGCGAGCAGAAGGCAAGAGTGGCGGAGCCACGGGGGGGCGAGGGACTGAGGAGAGGCGCGACGGCGGCAGGGAGGGATGTGCGGTGGGGGCAGGGGACAGGGGGGCCGGGGGGAGAGGAGGGGAGGGGGGTGTGGGAGAGCAGCAGGACGTGGGAGGCCTTGTCCTGGCCTATAAGCCCCGTCCACACACGTGTCATGCGCACACACCACCCTTCGCCCTCTCCCTCCGCATCCCACCTCTCGCCTCCCCCCCTTGCCTCCCCACCACCCACATCCCTCCCACCCGCCCCTCCCCCCACCGCCTGCCCCTCCATGCTCCCCCGACCACTCCCAGCCTGCCCACCTGCTGCTCTCCCCCCCACCCCTCCACCAGGGCCCCCATCCCCCCCACCCCCCGCGAAGCGACTCAGCTTAGCCGCTGCTGCCACGCCTGCCGCGCCTCCTCTTCCCCCTCCTCGCCCCCGCCTGTCCCCACTGCCCACACTCCCCCCCACATCCCCTCGCCCCGCCTGCAGCCTCAGATCGCCCACCATGCCTGCATCCCCCCCACCCCCACCGCCCCCTCTCCCTGCCGACATGCTCTCCTGGCCCCCCGCCCTCCCAGCAGCTGCAGCTGTTGCAGGAGACACGGGGCTCAGCCCGGCAAGTAGCGGGTCCAGCTCTGCTGCTGACGTGGCGTCAGGTGATTGGTGCAGGAAGCGGTGCGGGAGGTAGCGCAGGTGCCACACGGAGTGCTGGCGGCGGGCTGAGGGGGGAAGGGTTGTGGTGTGCGCAAAGGGGGAAGGCGGAGAGTAGATGGGCCACTTGAGCATGGAGTGTGCATAAGAGTGGTGAGAGGATGGACGGTGGGAAGTGAAGCAATGGTTGGAGTGAACATGATGGTGTGGTGTGGCCGCACATGATGGTGTGGACGCAAATGATGGTGTGGCCGCACATGATGGTGTGGACGCAAATGATGGTGTGGACGCACATGATGGTGTGGACGCACATGATGGTGTGGACGCACATGATGGTGTGGACGCACATGATGGTGTGGACGCACATGATGGTGTGGACGCACATGATGGTGTGGACGCACATGATGGTGTGGACGCACATGATGGTGTGGACGCACATGATGGTGTGGACGCACATGATGGTGTGGCCGCACATGATGGTGTGGACGCACATGAAGTTGCCAGTGAAAGACAGGTTGCTTGGGAGAGTGGCCAGGATTGATGGATTTGAGTTGGGGAAGTCAAGGGGGGAATGATGTAGTTGTTCTATTTGAAAATTATGAAGGGTTGACAAATTCCTCAACCAAGCCATTTTGGGCAAACCAATTTGGGCCAGGTTTGCCGATCCCCCAAATAACATTAAACTGAGTTATACACCCGAATAAGTATCTAAAATTTTATTTTAAAAGAAAAATAATAATTCAAAAACAACAAAAACAAACCACCAGGTGAGGAGGAAGAGGAGTGGAGGGGAGGGGCGTGACCGTGGTTGAAGGTGGCGAGCAGCGGCACCTCGGTGGATGACCACAGCACCTCCTCGCCCCCTCCCTGCTGCCACGGTGGCCCGACCTCCATGGCCACTGGCTGGAAGGGAAGGGGTGGAGGGGAGAGAGTGGAGGCGCGCGTGCATTGTGGGGAGTGCAGGAGAGTGGTGGAGGATATATTGTGGGAGGAGGCGGAAGGGGTGATTGGAGGAGGTAACGGAGGGATAGAGGTGGAAAGTAAATGTTTGTGTGGGGAGTGGGATTGATGATGGAATATGACACTGGCCCATTTGCACCACCACCACCACCACCACCACCTGCAACCTCACCTGCAGTTCCTCATGAGCATGTGAGAGCGTGAAGCACCCTGCCTCCATGAAAGCACCCCCCATGTGCGCCCCACCCACTGCCCCATCCGCCCAGTCAACAGCACCCATCGCGCCACCCGCTGCCCGCCCTGCCTGCCCGCCAGCTGCCCCACCAGCACCGGCGGTGGCGGCAGTGGCAGGAGCAGGTAGGGAGGGGGTGATGGCAGACGTGTGGGGGGAGAGAGCCGGGAACGGAATGGGGGAGGCGGGCGAGGGGAAGGGAGCAGTGGCAGTGGGGATGGGGAAGGCGAATGGAGGGGAGGCCGGAAAAGGTGCGGAGGCGAAAGGGGAGAGGGGGTGCATGGGGAGAGGTGTAGATGGGGGGAAGGCGTGTGTTTGTGTGGGCAGGGAATGCAGAGACGGCTGGGACGGCAGGGGCTGCAGCAGCAGGCCGATGGGGAGGGGCCAGAGGCGCGAGCAGGCGAAGGGCAGCGGCATCTCGTGCATGTCACCTGCATGCCGCACAGACAGGGGGAGCAGGGCGGGCCAAGGAGGGCAGAGAGCAGGGCAGGCAGGGTGAGAGAGTTTGAAGCAGCGTGTGAGAAGGGTGGCGAGGGAGCAGATGAATGAGGGGTTGAGGAAGAAAACTGATAGGCAGTTGACAAGGGGAGGACCATTGGCCAATGAGCCTTGCGACCCATCACCACATGTCACCACATGTCACCACATGTCACCACCAGCACCCCATCGTTTGCTCATCGGCTTGACCCCTTGCAGCTCGCCGTGGAGGGAGCAGGAGGGAGCAGGAGGGACTGACCATTGGTGGCGGCGAGTGTGAGGCCATGCGCGTGCAGCAGCGCGAGTGATGAGAGCGCCGCCTCCCCGTGCATTCGCACCCATGCTGCCTGCACTCATGGCCGGAGAGGGCACAGGCACGGATGGGTGGTGAGGAGGAAGGGTGGGGAGAGGGGGGAGCGGGAAGCGAGCTGGTATGCGTGGGAGGTTAGGGGAAGGTAGGAGGATGGAGTGAGATGTGGTGATGGGTCGCAATGATGCTAAGCAGGCATTGGGAGCAATGGCGTGAGAGCAATGGAATGAGGGCAGCACCTGCGAGATGGCATGCGGTGTGGTGAGCTTCTTGCGCAGCACGCCCTCTGCCCTCCACTCCACGCTGCTGCCCTCGCACCGCCCCATTCAATCCCATGCCAGGCGGAGAGGGGGGAGCGGGGAAGGAGGAAGAGAGGGAAAGCATGTCAGACTTTTTTGTTATATCAACAGTTTCGTTAAACACATTGATCACCCCCCCACCCTCTCCCCTCTTCCCTCTCCCCTCTCCGCTCTCCCCTCCTCGATCTACCTCCTCTCTGTCCTCCCCCTCTCTCCCCTCCCTGCCCTCTCTCTCCGTTCCGCTCAAATCTTCCCCCAAACGCCCGCTCCCGCGGGTCTCCCGCCCATCGATCGCCCGCTGCGCTCTCTGCTTCCCCATTCATGCCCGCCACGCCTCGACCTCAATCTCCCCTCCCCCCCCCCGCCCCTCGCCCCTCTCGCTAAGGATCGAATATATCCCAGCTGCATGTTCCCATCGTTCTCCGCGCGCCACTCTCCGCGCGCCACTCACCGCGCGCCCCTAACGGCCACCCTCTCCTCGCACGCGCTCCACAGAGCCGCCACGTCGCCGCCGCCCGCCACCTGCCGGCCGTCGATCACAAGCACATCCCCCCGCGCCTCGTCCGCCAGAATTTGCTCCATTTGAAACGAAAACCCGCTGCGACATACAACTACTATCCCACGCTGAATCCACCCTGAGATGGATTCAACGCTAAATCTGTTTCACTAAATCGAGAGGCAGCTGATGCTGCTGAGTGACGGCTTCCCTTGCTAAGAATCTACAAGCAAAGACGACTGCTCCATCTGCCTGGCCGCACCTTTTGTTAGGACGTGGTACAGGAAATGTTAGCAAGATGGGGGTTTTGGGCCGATTTATCAATTCGTCACCGCAGTGTACTCCTGTTTTTTGTCCATTTAACCTTCAGAACCAGCTTTAAAACCGTCAATAGCCGATCTCTAGGGGGATCGAACTTCGAAGATTGCCACTTTTGACAAGTACTTCGGCTGGAACGTTATTAGGGCGGGTTCAGTGCGTACATTTTCCATACAATACAGTTCATCCAGCACGGTAATCTGTATTGCGTCATGGTTAAAAACGGTGCGATTCCAAAACCGCTGTGCACCGCCTGATATTGTCTCAAACCACGACGAATGAACTGTACGGCACCTGTAAATGTACGCGCTGGACCCGCCCTTAAAGCTCGCGTCTCATATTTCCAACCGTTAAACGCTTGGTTGGGTTTGCTTGACTGTGATTGGGCAACGAAAACGAAATATTTGACGAGCGGGCGAAAAATCACAGCGAACTACCAAAACAGTCGAGGCCAAAACAAACCAGGGTGGGTTGGTTTTGGAAGAAAACGAGCCAAGGGGGACAGGTTCGGTCCCCCCTTCTGTCAACGTTGAGTTTCAGAGTCTCATATTTTCGGAAGTTGTAAACGCTTGGTGTGCACGGGAAGTGTGCGACAGCCAACTTTCCCAAACCACCCCTTGCTTTGGTGTGCTTTGCGACAAACTTTGCTGTTACCAAATTCCAACCGTTTAACACTTGGTTGGATAGCAGAAATATGAGACGCGAGCTTTAAAAAAAGCCGCAATGCACCGATTGTAAGAACGCGGCACCATTTTTGCCAATCGAAGGCTCGAACCACCGACGGTTCACTCGGGCTGGTAACAAGAGCCGTCATAAGTGATCAGTGAGTCCGTCGCGCTGCACACGTACGAAGTTGAAAACAGTCACAGTCGAACAGACTGCGTCGCACAATGTTCGAACTTCAGCGACTAGGGAATGTCTGTCGTATATTTCGGACACCAGAAACCGCCAACTCACCCACATTCTATCAATGGCAAGACCCACGTGATTCCCCAGGAAGGAACTCCGTTGCAGTTCTGCAGTGACGTCATCGCGTTACGGGTGCAATGGATCGAGGTAGCGAGGATTCCACTTAAGTGTCAAACGAATACAAAATGTGAGCGAAGACATGAGCGAACATTTATACGCGAAACATGCAAACGGTTACGCGGTGCGTGCAAGCTAGCTATTGCAATGCAGGCAGCGAGGCTCGGGCTAGTCCCGAAGCGTAGGCAGACACGGCCGGGCCAGCAGTGCGAGGTTTGGCAAAACACTGCGCGCGAAATTGGTGAAGACCCGTTAGCAGTAACGGGCGAACAACGGCTGTTGAGGTACGCGATGTAGTCGGGCTCCGTAAGGAATGCCGAGAAAATTCCTTACACTACCCCCCCCCCCCCCCCCCCTTTAAGAAGCCCCCTCCGCTACGCGAGTGCGTGTATGTCGCGGAATCCCCGGCTTCTCAGGTACACTTGCACGGCAGGGTGGTTTTCAATGTTGGCCAGGGGCACCCAGCTATCTTCAGTTGGCGTGCGGTCCTTCCAGCAAACGAGGAATTCAATCCTCCTGATTCCCGTGGGGTGGCGAATAGGATGGCTCAGAATTTTTTCGAGCTCGATGATCGGCTCTGATGCAGGGCGAGTCATGGAAGGCGGGCGATGACGAGGCAGTTGGCTGGTGGTTGGGATATACAGGCGTAGGCTGACGTGGAACGATGGGCTGATGTACCAGTCCGTCGGTAACAGTAGGTGCGCGGTGTGAAAAATGAGGAATGAATGAACTAACACAAGGTTGGGTACAAGTAGGAAACCCTAGGAAACTGTACCCCATAGTGTCTACCCCACTATAGCCTAGACAAGCTATATAATATAAGTTTGACACACCCCCATAAGCAAAGTGGGGGAGAACAAGAGGTCACAAGACCAGTCAAGCAAAGCAAGCTCAGGGTGGATCACAACGTCACCACACATTCCGAGCACAAGAGCAAGGCCACAAGGCCAGTTCACATTCAAGATCATATATAAAGGTAAATAAGCAAGTGCAGGTATAGAAAGATCACAGTACAAGCAAGGTCAAGAAGTGAGCAAGTGAGGCCAAGTAGGCACAAGACCTAGCATCGTACAGCAGCGCTGATGATCACAATGCGGAAGTGCCTTGGTAAAGATATCAGCAGTGTTGGCCTCAGAGGCCACGTAAGCAAGGCGCAGCTGACCACGCTGCTGCAGCTCACGAGCAAGGAAGTAGCGAAGAGCAATGTGCTTCGTTCTGTGTTCGAGTCTGTGCTCCCAATACAAGGCCAGCATGGCCTTGTTGTCTACGTACAGAGCTGGAGGAGAACAAGGCGGCGCTCCTAGGTCAGTCAGCACGTAGGTGAGCCAGCGTAGATCCTGTGCAGCCATAGCCCCCGCGTAGATCTCAGCCTCACAACTGGAGCTGAGAACGGAAGACGAGCGGGTAAACCGCCACGAAACAGAGCCAGAACCAAGGCTGAAGGTGTAACCCTGTGACGACCGCTGCGTAGCCTGGTCGTTAGCCCAAGAAGCGTCTGCGTGATCTGTGAGGACTACTCGACGTCGCCCTCCAAGCACTAGCCCCATGCCCGACGTACTGCAGAAGTAGCGCAACACCCTCTTCGCTGCAGCCATGTGCTCTGGTCGGTGTCTTCTAGGAGCAACATAGCGTGCCAAGATGCTAAGAGGGTATGCTAGGTCAGGTCGTGTGCAGGTCATCAGGTACATGAGGCAGCCAACAAGCTCTGGGTACGGGCCACTCGGCTCTACGGACTCATCCGAAGGCAGAGCTGAGAGCAAGTGGCGAGTAGACAGAGGAGTGGCCTAAGGCGAGGAGTACGTGAAGTCGAAGCGCTGAAGGACCTGCTGCACCATGTGTGACTGAGTCAGAGTAATGGTGCGCCGTGCTCTGTCCTGGGTGATCTGCAAGCCAAGGTAGCTGCGCAGTTCACCTAGGTCTGTGCACGTGTGTCTCTTCTGCAGCTCGGACTTTACGTGGGCGAGTCCAGCAGTGTCAGCAGTGGCAAAGACCAAGTCGTCGACGTACACGAGGATGTAGAACGGCGGCAAAGAGGTGTCGATGAGCAGAAACAGCGACGGGTCGGCAGTAGAAGGAGCAAACCCAAGAGCCGCAAGTGTAGTCCTCATTGTGTTGTGCCACTCACGGGGCGCCTGGCGAAGACCGTAGACTGGCTGCCGGAGGCTCCATTGGGTACCACGAGGAAGCGACCTAGTGAAGCCAGGTGGGCGGTGTAGCCAGATCTCCTCGTGCAGGCTGCCCTGCAGGAAAGCTGTGCTGAAGTTAAGAGAGTGAAGCTCGTAGTCGCGTTGAGCGGCTATGTGTAGCAGCACCCGAAGAGTGGTCATCTTCAGGGTGGGAGAGAAGGTCTGAAAGTAGTCAACTCCCTGCCGCTGACTGAAGCCTCGGGCCACGTAACGCGCCTTGAAGGCAGGCGGAGAACTTTGAAAATAGTAGGCGCTAGGAAAGCCCTAGCTAGGCAAGAAACAGTTTCGGCAAAGAGAGAGAGTTTCATTAGAAAGCAGCAAGATACATATATGAAACCCTAAAGGGGTTGTGCTCGCTATAGAGTACCCCACTGCAGGCTAGAGAATAATAACATTCTGACACACCCCCATAGCCAAAGTTGGGTGTAATCAGCAGATCAAGCAAAGTAGAACAAGCTCAGGGTGGATCACAATGTCACCACACATTCTGAGCACAAGTTCAAGAAGCAACAATTTAAAGTTCACAAGTGTAAGCAAAGCTAGAGGCTATCGTAAAGGGCAAGTAAGGAGGAGGAGGTGAGACTGTAAGAGGAGAGGAGATAGGAGGCGACGACTGAAGCTGCAGACACACGTGCAACAGGAGGCACACTGGCACAGCGGCTACCAGAACAACGCTCCGAACGGCTGGAGTAACTGGCCCCGCGGCTAAAAGTAGCGGCAGACGAGCAACGAACCCACGGGCGACTGGCACAGGTGGCTGCGACTGGGCTACCAGAGCAACTCCCCGGACTACAGGTGCTGCTGGCGACACGACGGCAACCTCCATTCAACTTCCCCAAGCAGTCCCACCCCTCCTGACACACACCCCCTGCTTCACCCCTAGCTCCACTCCCCCTTCACCCCCCTTAGTACCACTCCGACGGCTCCAACAGGTCCACCCCCCTCAGCGGCAGCTGCAGAACTGGGAGACGGAGGAGGAGGAGAAGCAGGGGACGGCACACAGAAGCTGCACCCCCATACCCCTCACCCCCAAACCCTAATCCAGGAGAACGGGCTGCAGGAGGGGTGGGGCGCCATCAGAGGCATGGGGGACAGCGGGCAGCGCAGGGGCAGCGAAGAACGGGCCGCCCACGGGCCTGGCACAGCCGCCCGAACATCGCGCAGGCGGCCCGAGTCGCACGCGGGCCTGGCGCAGCCCGTACGGGCCGTGCGGAGCCTGTACGGGCCGCGCGCCGGCCATGACGGGCGACGCGGAGCGACGCGCGAGTCCCCGTCACCCGTCGCAACGCCTCCTGCGGGCGACGCGCCGAGTGACGGGGCAGAAACCCACCGCACGCCTCGGGAGGCACGGCGGGCAGAGAACCGCCGCGCGCCTCGGGGAGCACGGGGGGCTGAAAACCCTAATTTCGACGCCGCGCACCACGAGGCGCGCGGTGGCTAGGGAGTAGCAGTAGCAACGGAAGCAGTGAAGTGGTGGGCCCACAGGCCAGGAGAATATCACTCTGAAACCATGTGAAAATAGTAGGCAGAAGTAGGAGCCAAAGCTAGGAAAGCCCTAGCTAGGCAAGAAACAGTTTAGGCAAAGAGAGAGAGATTCACTAGAAACCAGCAGGATACATATATGAAACCCTAAAGGGGTTGTGCTCGCTGTAGATTACCCCAATGTTGGCTAGAGAACAATAACATTCTGACAAGAACCCGGTGGCCGCTTCACCCTGAAAATCCACATGCCACTGACGATGTTCGCCCCAGGTGGGGGAACCTCGTCGACGTAGGTGCCTGTGGACTTCCAGGAAGCCATCTCTGCGTCCATGGGTGACTGTCACTGTGAGGAGTAGGGACCCTCAATCGCCTCAGCGTTCGATCGAGGAGTCGGGATGTCTGGTGCATCCGGGTCTCCCTCAAGGGCAATCAGCGTGGACACGAGATGAGGCAAAGCAGCAGCAAAACACTGGAAATCCTCCTGCCTGTCCTCAAGGACGTCCGTGCTAAGAGCACACTCACCCTCGACGGACGGAGGACAGACAGACTCAGACTCAGCAACATGACTAGCAGCATAGTCTAGACGACAGTGAGCAGCGAAGTCGACAAGCTCAGCAACTAAGGCAGACGTATCAGTGGACTCAAAGGAAGGGTCAGTGACAACAGTAGCAAGGAGACGCGTGACAGAAGGACTGGCAGCACGAAGAGAGTTAGACTCCGGGTCAATAAGAGTATAAAGAGAGGACTCTGGAGGAGACGGCAACGGGACACCTAGAGGATCGGTGGAAGGACGCAGTGCCATCTGGTGTGTGCGTGGGACCGCAGGAGGACGCGGACGCGCAATACGACCACCAGTGCGAGCAGCACGAACAGGCGACGCAGGACGAGACGCAGGATCACGACTCCCAGCAAGACCTCCAATAGGACCAGTGTAGGGAGAAGGAGCAGGCAGGGGGGAGGCGGGTTGTAACTGTGACTGCGAGTGGACAGGCGGTGAACACGCTAAGGGAGGGGCAGGACCAGTAGAAGGCGAAAGACCAAGAACCTCAGCCGCGCAGCGCCTCCAGAACTAGCAGGGACAGCACCAGTACCTCCAGCGGCAGCATGAGCGCCAGCAGCACCTCCAGCCCCAACAGCGCCAACTCCAGCACCCTGAGACGTACCAGCGCAAGCAGCACCACCAGCGCCAACACCCCCAGCAGCTCCAGCTCCACCAGCTCCAGTAGCACCAACTCCTGCAGGACCGGTAGCTCCAGTACCGCCAGTAGCTCCAGCAGTACCTCCAGCAGCACCAGCAGCAACAGTAGTACCTCCAGCTCAAGCAGCACGGCTCCAGCGCCGAGCAAACCACTCGCGCAACTACTGCAGAGAGAGTGGCTCCTTCCTCGAAGAAGCACCGGGCCAGGCCACACGAGCAGACCCAGCACCCCCAGGCTCAACACCCCCAGACTCAGCACCCCCAGGCTCAGCACCCCCAGACTCAGCACCCCCAGGCTCAGCACCCCCAAGCTCTGCACTCCTAAACTCAACACCCTTAGGCTCTGCACCCTCAGGCTCAGCACCTCCAGACCTGGCACCTGCAGGCTCAGCACCTCTAGCAGCACCAGAGTCAATAGTTACCTCGACAGGCTCGACTGCGTCTACCTAGGACACACCTGACGGGGCAGGACCCTGAGGGGGGAGGGGGTCTACCGGGGGAGGACATGATGCAAGGAAGAGTGGTGGCAGGGGGAGGGGCGCAATGCGGTAGGGGAAGAGACGGTAGTAAGGCACCGACTCGTCAAAGGTGACGTCCTAGGAGGACAGAACATGGGGCGAGGTGGGGTGGTAAAACTGCCAACCAGGCGCGTCACGGGGGGAAGCCAAGGAAGACGAGGGATCAGCACGGGTGGACAGCTTGTCCGGAGACAAGTCGCGAACAAACGCCCGAGATCCCTAGACCCGAAATGCAGACGCATCGCCAACCTTCCCCGTCCGCCGCAGGGTGGGGGAGGTCTCTGGCAAGGAGACCCGGGGCTGGAGGTTGAGCTGATGCGCTGCGTACTGAACTGCAAACGGCCACAGAAAATGGGGGGCAGCCGCATGCATCATGGACGTACGAGCGACGTCCATGACCATGCAAATGCGGCGCTCAGCAATCCCATTTCACTGCGGAGAAGGCGGAAGCGTGAAGGTCTGGCGGATGCCCTGTGCTCGACACAAGGCTCCCAGAAGGGCAGAGGAAAACTCCCCGCCTCTGTCAGAGTGGAGACGCAGAATAGGAAAGTCCGAGCCGAAACTCTCTCTAAGCTGGAGACGAGCTGCACGGATCCAGTCCATCAACACCTCAGTGACGTCGCGCGAGGGGAAGACTGTGGTGTAAAGCGAGTAGTCGTCAACCACCAACAGGAAGTAACGCTCGTGCCCCTGTCCACGGACGTGGGCGGGGCCCGACACGTCCATGTGAAGAGTCTGCAGTGGAGCCTCCGTCGGAGGAAACTCGGAGGAGTGAGGGGCGGCGCGCTGTCCCTCCTCGACGCAGGGGACGCAAGTAGGGGCAGGCCCCGGAGGTAGGGGAGGGAGAGACCGGGGGAGACCAGAGACAAGGACACGGGAGGCCATTCCTTGCAGGCGAGGAAGGGAGGGATGACCAAGGCGGTGGTGCCAAAGGAGAGTCTGGTGGGACAGGAGACGACACGAGCAAGGAGCAGACTCAGGACAAGACCTGGACGCTGCAGCAAACACCTGACTCGACGCATCTACTTGACCAGACGCAGCAGCCGGAGGAGACTCGGTAGTAAGTGTGTACAGGCTCGACCCTGGCCGATGGGTGAACGTGGCCAAGTGTTGGCCTGTCCAAGCACATGTGTAGAGGGTCACCCGCTCACCCACAGGAGTGAACTAGTCAACCCCCCTATCCTGTAGGTCAGCTCCCCTCACCAAGTTCGTAGAGAACGAGGGGAGGTAGAGACCTGACAGGGTGCTAGAGGGGGCTGCCGGGCACGGTAAGACAGTGGAGAAGCTAGCAAGGACAGGACCCCCAGAGGGGTCCGCCAGGGAGACCACAACCGATCGACTAAGAGGCGTAAGTGTGGTGCGGTCACGAAAGAAGGAGCGGGAAGCACCCGAGTCAAGGGTGAAGGTGTGTAAGGCCTGAGCCGACGTAGTACCTGAGAGAGCAGACTCACCAGCACCTGGGGCAACAGACGCACTTGCACCTGGGGCAGCTGACGCACTAGCACCTAGAGCAGCAGCCTCACCAACACCTAGAGCAGCAGCCTCAATGCTCGGGTCAGGCGGAACACGCACGTAACAGTCACCCTCAACACAAACAGTCACAGCATACATGGCAGCAAGAATAGCATCATAGTCAAAATCAAAGATGGCAAACCCCACCCTAGACAAATCTCCCCAGCGAGGTTTCTCTGACGGCTCAGGGAACTGGTGACGCCACACGTCTGTCAGGCGGCCGAAGTAGCGCAGGGTGGAGTACGGGCCCCCGCACTGCTCACTAGCATGGTCGCCGGTATGGAGAACGTAAGTGCAGGGACTAGTATCCCCACCGCGCTGACGCGCAGATTACCACTCACGAAGTTGCTGAGGGGATAGGGTCTCACGACTACGCTGCTGCAGCTGGCGGGGACCACCACCGGACCCACTCCTCTGCGTAGAGTCGCGAGCAGCTCCACCGCCGCCGCCGCCGACGGCGCCTCCGCCGTTGCCGCCGGCGCCTCCGCCGCCTCTGCCACCTCCACCGCCTCCGCCACCTCCGCCACCTACGCTCCCTCCGCCACCACCGCCGCCTCCTCCGCCTCCACTGCTGCCACCGCCGCCGCCACCCCCGCCACCACTCCCACCACCACCCCCACCCCCTTCACTGCCTCCACCGCCACCTCCACCGCCCCCGCTAGCCCGTCCAGCTCCCTTGCCCCCCTTGCCCTTGCCGTTTTGGTGCCTCCCGCTAGGGGCAGACGCAGCGCCGACCCCGTAGAAACCAACGAGGTCAGCAACACCAGCAGAAGCAATAGAGGGCAAGAGGGGGGAGGGGGAACACCCCTCAAAGACGGGGGTGCGAGGGTCACCACGAGAGGCTCCTACAGCTACTATGCTCTTCTCTACTGCGAGGAGGCGCTCCTTGAGGAGGTCAACGGTGAGAGTGGTGGGGCAAACTGAGAGGAAGTGGTCCCTGACTAAGCGAAGAGAGTAAGGGAGCCGGGTGACTATGTAGTAGAGGGTGATGTACATGGAGGGGGGGGGTTCTTGGCGCAGAACTCAGCAGGAAGCGCAGCGCGGTAGCGAGTGTCACTAGTGCGGAGGTGCGTAATGAGGTGAGCGACAGTGGGAAAGGCAGCAAGGTCAGGGAAGAGGTACGGTAGCATGAGGCGGCTCAGTGCAGCAGTGGAAGGGGAAGAGTAGCGTGCAACTACAGCGTCGTACAAGGTCTGAGCACTCTTGTACTGGCTAAAGTGCGCACGCTCAGTGGTCGGTAAGTGGCGACGCACAGCAAGACGGGAAGCAGCATCGCGTGTCGCCCACTGTGAGCAAACAGTGCTGTCAGCAGTAGCAGGCAGGGCAGGGGAGGCACCAGAGGTGAGGTCGAACAAAAAGAGGCCGTTTGCCCTATTGCACTGGAGGAACAGCTGAAGGTTATCGACCCAAACCTCAAAGTGAACAGCATGACCCTTAGTGTCAAAGGTATGAACACTGGGGGTAGTCATGAATGTGGAGGTTTAGGAAGGAGTGAGCTCACCAGTACATGTAAGTAGGGCTGGGGCGAGCGGGTAGGACTGGTAGCGGCTCGACTGCAGGGCGGCTCGGTGGCTCAGCGGCTCGGCTGCGGGGCGGCTCGGCTGTCAGGCGGCTCGGCGGTCGGGCGGCTCGGCGGTTCTGCTGCGGGGCGGCTCGGCTACTGGGCGGCTCGACGGCTAGGCGGCTTGGCTGCTGGTCGGCTCGGCGGCTCTGCTGCTGGGCTGCTCGGTAGAGGCGGCGTTGGGTCCGCCAGGGGCAGCGACGGGGCCGCTTTGGGAGGCGAGCGGCGACGGGTCCGTGTAGTGGCGGCGACAGGGCCGCGTAGGAAGGGGGGTGGCGACGGGGCCGTTAGGGGCGGCGACAGGGCTGCGTAAAGGCGGCGTCGGGGCCGCTTTGGGGCGGCGACGCGGCCGCTTAGGAGCGGCAGCGGGGCCGCTTAGGGGCAGCGACGGGGTCGCGTAGGGTGGGAGGCGGCGACGGGGCCGCTAGGGGCGGCGACGGGGCCGCTAGGGGCGGGGACGGGGCCGCGTAGGTTGAGGGGCGGCGACGGGGCCGATAGGGGCGGCGATGGGCCCGCTAGGGGCGGTGACGGGGGCCGCATAGGGGTGGCGACGGGGCCGCGTAGGGGTGGCGACTGGGCCGCGTAGGGTAAGAGGCGGCGACGGGGTCGCTAGGGGCGGCGACGGGGCCGCTAGGGGCGACAACGGGGCCGCTAGGGGCGGCGACGGGGCCGCGTAGGGGCGGCGACGAGGCCGCGTAGGGGCGGCGACGGGGCCGCGTAGGGTGAGAGGCGGTGACGGGGCCGCTAGGGGCGGCAATGGGGCCGTGTGGAGGGCGGCGACGAGGCCGCTAGGGGCCACTAGGGGCGTGGAAAGGGCGACGAAAAAGGCGCGCCTCGGGTAGGAGCGACTGGCGCTCCGGTCAGAGAGGAAAATTTCAGTGGTGGTCCCAAGGAAGCGTTCCCACTAGGGAACCTGCTCTATACCATGTGAAGAATGAGGAATGAATGAACTAGTACAAGGTTGGGTACAAGTAGGAAACCCTAGGAGACTGTACCCCATAGTGTCTACCCCACTATTGCGTAGACAAGCTATATAATATATGTTTGACACGCGGTTACTGGCGTGATCATGTGGCTGATTTGGAATGGGCCACATTAGCACGGTCGCAGTTTTGGTACGTCGGGCAGTCACAGATTTTGCGTGTCGAGCAATACATAATCCCCTGACTGGTATGTAACTGGGCAGCGATGGCGGTCAGCGCTGCGCTTAGCGATGACGTTTGCTTTTTTAATTGCTTCTGCGGCTTTAGTGCGGGCAGCATGCAGAATTTCGGCGAATTGCTGTGCACGTGGTGTTGGGCTGTCCGGACTTGACGTCATGGGCACTGTCGGATTTTGCCCGTAGTTCAGGTAGAAGAGGGACTGTTGCGTCGTCGCTAACGTGGCGTTTTTGTACTCGAACTCGATCAGTGGCAGCTGCTGCTCCCAAGTCGTGGGGTCGTCGCACGTGGCACGAATCAACTACTCCATCGTCTGATTCGTCCACTCCGTTTGACCATCGGTCTCGGGGTGGTACGTCGAACTTAACTGTAGCCTGGTCCCGAACTGCTCCCAGAGGTTCTTCTAGAAGTTGCTGGTGAACTTCATGTCCCTGTCGCTGATAATCGCTGCTGGTATCCCGTGCAGGCGAACAACGGTTGCGATGAACAGACGAGCGGTCTCCTCGGCTGAGATCAACTTTTTGCACGCAGAGAAGTGTGCCATCTTCGTCAACCTGTCAACGACGACCATCACCGCGTCATTACCCCCGACGTTCGAAGGTAACCCCGTCACGAAGTCTATGGTAACCTGCTGCCAGGCGCGCTCGGGCGGTGGTATCGGCTGCAGTTGACCCGCCTTCCGCTTCCTCGAGCTCTTCATCACCTGACACGTGGGACACGAGCCCACGTGCTGCTGCACGTCGGTCAACAACTCTGGCCAGTACTAATACCGTTGCAGTTGCTGTCGCGTTTTTTCTACCCCAAAATGTCCCGAGGTAATTCCGTCGTGTGCCTCCTGCAGTACCAGCTCCCTCAGTAGTGAGTATGCGGGTACCCAGATACGGTTGGTGCCTGTTTTTAAGTAATAAACTCCTTTGGCTTCTGCCAGTTGCTGTGAATTTCCGGTCGTGAAAAATGGGTCGGTGCGGTATCCGTGGGTGAATAGTCCTGTTAAAAGCGGGTTGGTTTGGGTGAGTAGGATGGCATGGAGTTGGGCGGTAGGGCAGGTGAGTGCGTCAGCGATGTTGGAGGTGCCCTTTTTGTACGTAACCGTGTAGTCGAAGTTGGACTCGAGGTACTCCAACCAGCGGATCTGTCGCGGATTGAGATTTGGTTGGATACGCAGGTACTCTAGTGATCAGTGGTATGTCCGTACTATCACGTCGGCGCCAGTCAGGTAACACCGCCAAACCTTGAACGCGTGCATGATCGCCAACATTTCGCGGTCGTGTATCGGGTAGTTGCGTTCGGGCGGGTGCAGCTTGCGGGACTCGTACGCGATTGGCTGGAGGCCGTTCCCAAAGTCCTGCGGCAGTACTGCTCCCACAGCGATGTCACTTGCGTTGGTGACGAGCTTGAACGGACGGTGCGGATCTGCGATGTGAAGCACGGGCGGTGAGCACAAAATGTTTTTTAGGGCCGAGAAGGCAGCTTGCTCTTTCTCCCCCCACGTGTACTCAACCCCCTTCCTCAGCAGGTCGGTCAGCGGGGCAGTCAGCTTCCCCATGTCGGGGACGAACCGGCGCACGTTGTTGACGAACCCCAAAAAGCTCAGCAACTCGGTCAAGTTGGTCGGCGCGTGCCAGGCTTGAATCGTCGCGATTTTCTTCGGGTCTATTTCCACTCCTGCAGCTGGAATAACGTGTCCCAAAAACTCCAGTCAGTCATGTAAAAACTCACACTTAGACGCTTTGGTCAGTAGGCGGTTCTCACTCAGGATCTTAAAAACTGCTTCGATGTCATGTAAGTGCTGTGCTCTGTCAGGGCTGTAAATTAGGATGTCGTCCAGGTATACGATGACGCACTTATCTAAGAGCGGGCGGAAAGCTTCGTTCATGGTCGTTTGAAAAGTGGCGGGGGCGTTGGTCAGTCCGAAGGGCATGCCGGTCTATTCGAAGGATCCGTAGCGTGTGCGAAATGCAGTCTTAGGGCAGTCGGGTGGATTGAGGCGAATCTGGTGGTAACCCCTTCGGAGGTCGATTTTCGAGAAAACCCGGGCTGTGCGTAGTTGGTCGATCAGTTCGTCGGCTCGCGGGATGGGGTAACGGGATTTGATGGTAACCCTGTTCAGTGCTATGTAATCTATGCACATGCGAAACCCCCCGTCTTTTTTCGGTGTGAACAGTATCGGTGCTGCGAAGGGCGACGAACTAGGGCGAATGAATTCCTTCTCGAGCAGGTAATCGGGTTGCTTCCTCAGTTCGTCTAGTTTGGGTTGGGTTAGTCGAAATTGTCGCTGTACTGTCGGCTGTGCCCCCGGTTCTAGTTCTATTCTGTGGTCGTGCGGTCGCTGGGGTGGCAGTCTCGTCGGTAGGTCGTCCGGGAAGATGTCACTGTACTGCTTCAACAGTGCTGCCAGATCACTCGGTACGTCGGCTAGCAGTTTCTGTAAATCCTCTCCTTTGTCTGCTGCCTCAGCTTCCCGAATGTCGACCGCGTACACGTCAGCTCCTACCGCTACGGCACGTTTCATCGTGATCGCGTTGACACACACCGACGAAGACTCAGGCGAGCCCCAGCGAGATAAGGCGATGTTGTTACCGTTCACTCGCACGGTGCAGTCACCCGTCGTCCATTCGATTCGCGGATTGTGTCATCGCAGCCAATCACACTAAACGGTTCCGTCGAGGGTCATTGAGAGCATTTCGTGGCTAAACGTGAAGTTACCCCCGCATCGAATCCGAACCCGATCTACGCGTTCCCGTATCGCCAGCGGCGTCCCGTCTACCAGTCTTGCATCGATCTCAGGTAAACATCTGTCCAGTGGAAATCACAGTTTTCGTGTTGTGGCAGTGTTGATAAGGCTGTGGCTGGCTCTCTCGTCTACGAAGATTTTTACTCAGTCCGTCCCCATTTTTCCACTAAGCAGTATGTGGCTGTCTACCGTAGTACCCTCCTTATTCGGCCGAATGTGGTCGATTGCGTGAACCGGCACAATCACTCGGTGAGGGTCGGTTGGGTCGGGCGAGCGGCGTGACCACTCAGTAGAGGGCCCATCTGCTATGGACTTCCAGCGTTTCCCTGCTGCTTGGTCTATTTCTGCTGCTCAGCTTCCCCCTTTCCCTTAGCGTTTTCCGGGCATTCGCTCTTGCAATGTCCCGGCCGATTGCACGCTAAGCAGCACCCTTTGAATGGTGCGGCAGCGGCATTTGCGGCGACGGCACGTATCGTACCGCTCTCGTTCGTCCCACGAGACCGATGTCCCCAATGGCTGCTTGCGTAGGACCCCGGTCTCGGTCGGCGGAAGAAGTCGAGTTTCTCCGCCATAGCAAGAATTTCTTGAAAATCGGTGACGCTGCCGATGTAGCGGTCGATGCACTCGCTCTCGTACATATATCCCACCTGCTCACATAGCGCCGGAAATCCGCTCGTGTAGTCTTGGACGGAACCGAGTTGGCGCCAAGTGCGGAGCTTCTGTCGCGCCGCGATCGAAGCCGCGATTGGCTCGAAACGAGCGCGCAGACCTGCGCACCACGCGTCCCACGTGCGATACTGGGGCACCTCCCCGAAATACGACGGTGCCCAGGGTCCGGTTTGTCCTTCCAGTGTCGTTAGTGTCGTGTAGTCCATCGGCTTCATAACGATGACGCGCCACCAATCCATGGCGGTTCCTCGTAGCAGCGAGACAGCGTAGCGGATTTTCGTCGTATCCTCCGAGACGTAGTTGGCGTCGAAAAATACGTTCATCGTGAACAACTACGCATGAGCG